TTAGGTGTCCCCACCTCATGTTAGCTTAAGAAGTTCCCGTGCTAATGTGCTTTGAGTGCCTGTCATGCTCGAGTGAAGTATTGCAGTGTAAACAATCTGCGTGAGCATTAAGAGCGCCATATTTTGTCTAAAGGCTGTTGTTGGTGATTCCTAATTCAGATCGACAACCCACTCAAAACACTGGACTCAGTCCGTTCTGCTCCGCTCAATATATATGCCATCCCGTTCGCGTTTTAGTGAGTGAGTTGGGCTTAACGCTGCTTTTAACAGTATTCCAGTTATATCACGGCGTGTCAGCTTAATGTGGGAGGAAAGCCCGAAGAGATGCAGGTCTCAGACTTTTACCACTTCGTTGAAACCCACGAGCACCGGTATGGTGCTGACAAACCTAGAAACATAATCGGGGCGAACCGGGATTCGAACCCACAATCATACGTTTCTGGCGTGCCCAAGAGACGCAACTCTGCACAGCGAATCGCGGCGACTTAGACGACAGCCTAATGTGGGAGGAAAGCCCGAAGTGATGCAGGTCTCAGACGTTTACCACTTCGGTGAAACCCACGAGCACCATGTGTGTGTTTGTGTGTGTGTGTAATGTGTGTGTGCGTGTGGTGTGTGTGAGTGTGAGTGTGTGTTTTGTGTGTTGAATGTGTTGTGTGTGTGTGTGTGTGTTTTGTTTGTTGTATGTGTGTAATGTGTGTGTGTGTGGTGTTTGTGTGTGTCTGTTTTGTTTGTTGTGTGTTGTGTGTATTGTAGTTATGGTGTGTGTATTGTAATCATTAACTATCACAAATATAATTCGAATTAGCAGACACACGGAGTGCTGTTTGAACGACTAGCATCGAACCCGCCACGTCTACTATAATGCTATGGCTACAAATTTACCGGACAAAAATCTCCTATCACATTCCCAGAGAAGGTACAATGGCGTCACACCTGGTGGTAGCGGAATACCAAATGTCTACCTTTGTTCAGGGCCCTGCACGACAGCAGAATCCCCAATACCACATGGATGTACACATAGCTAGGGTCTGATATTGATCACGTCAGTAGGACATTAATAGCAAACAAGTATTATTTGGACCGCTTTTGACAAGCTTTATCATTTATTGATCAGGAGCCGTATACATATAGCAATCTATGTAGAAATCCATAATATAAATTGTATTATAATATATAATCCATAATATATGATCATGATGTGTTGTGTGCATGTGTGTGTGTGCGTGTGCGTGCGTGCGTGCGTGCGTGCGTGCGTGCGTGCGTGCGTGCGTGCGTGTGTGTGTGTGTGTGTGTGTGTGTGTGTGTGCGTATGTATAACTGTATAATCACAGATATATCTAATGCGATATATTTGTAGTTAGAACTAACATGACGGGCCGATAAACGATGGAGGTATATATTCTCTACGCTGCCATGGGCGTTAAAGTGCTCTCACTGAAAATACTTCACGGCTGTGAGGTAGGAATATCGCTTTCACTTCATAATTGAGTTCATTCAAGGTGAAGTGAATGATTTAACCTTTCATTTAAAATAATACATTTTTAGGGCCATCACTGTTAATGTAACAATAACGGAACATGTATAACAACGGGGGGGGGGGGGGGGGGCGACTACCGTAATCACATATATATTTTGCCCTGTGCTGCTGATAATTATAGCGACAGTTCCCGGAATGTGAATACCTGGGGCATTCAAGTAGTGAGTGAGTGAGTATGGTTTTTACGCCGCTTTTAGCAATATTCCTGCAATATCACGGCGAGGGAACCAGAAATGGGCTGCACACATTGTACCCATGTCGAAAATCGAACCCGGATATTCGGCGTGACGAGCGAACGCTTTAACCACTAGGCTTCCCGACGGCTCCCCCATTCAAGAAGATAATGAAAGCAATGTTCACTTTCTGAACTCCAATCACATGATAAGTGTCACTCAGATGTACACGAAATAGATCCGATGTCAGCGTGCTACACGAATGCTGTGGCCTTGTTTGAAGGATATATACTTTCTGCTACCCTGCAAGTAGAACTGTAGCACATTTCCGGGAACTTGGATTACCGCAATTTTAATTATATGACAATGCAATAGTGTCCCTTATTTCAGTATTCAGCGTGTTCCACAAATACCTGCTGTCCCAGATATTCTAAAATAGGCCTAACATACTGCATTATATACACGTTTGATTAAACATTTTTGAAGACTTATTTTAATCATCTCATGGCTAAACCATTTTGGAACCTTTCTTTTAATTGAGGTTACATGGTTTGCCCTGTATTATCAGACAGTTACATCAAGGTGTTTGTGAGAAGTTACACGATAACCGATCGTGATCGTAAACAAGATCAAGTGCAGGACAAATATTGTTATGACCAAACAGCATAAACTTAGTTTTCTTTGGATTAAACCTAACCAGCCACGTGTCCGCCCATTCAGCTCATTTGACAAGATCAATGTTGAAACTACAGACTGATTGATAGCGACGCGTGACTGGCATCTCCATTAGAGTGTAAGGGATTGTCATGTTCTATCCTGATAAGTACCCCAAGAGGTTAATGGAAGGGGCGTTCACTTTCGTCTCCAGTTCGTTCCGTCAACAGTGTCATGGAACAGAGTAACGCGCCGGTCTAAACATGATAGACCAGCTCGCGTGGGATGAAAAAGGAATAAGAGAGTTTGTTTGTTTGTTGTTTAACGCCGCACTCAGCAATATTCCAGCTATATGACGGCGGTCTGTTGTCAATCGGGTATGGTCCAGACAATCTAGTGATAGACATCATGAGCATCGATCCACGCAATTGGGATGCGATTATATGCCTCAACCAAGTAAAAAATCTGGATATACAAACGCATTAACATAAACATTACCATAATAAAAATAATACTAATGATACTTGTAATACTAATGATAGTTATAATACAAGTATATTCATGGTACAAATAATACTTGTAATATTAATTATACTTGTGGTACAAATGATACTTTTCATACTAATGATATTACAATCCCAGTTGTCTTCATGATACTAATAATACTTGTAATATTAATTATACTTGTGATTACTACTTGTAATACTAACACTACTTATAATACTAATAATAGTTCTAATAGCAATACTTCTCACGATACGGGCGTATTAACGATACTCATAATACCGATTATACTCAGCTCCCTGTGTAGTATAATATAGGTGTCAAGACTTGGGCCAAAATAAGTCATTGTGTCTCAGGTAACGGATATTAAGTCACTAGGTATATACAGGTCATATGACTTGCTTAATTGATTAAGATATAGGTTTTTTAAAGGTTTATGTTGACAAGTTACCCATGTTATTAGTTATCCATGTGTAAGTTTAACGATGACTCAGCGGGACGACTCGAGAAGATCCGGTCTAGAATTGATCTACAGCTACACATGCTGGCTTGCCCTTGTCTGGCCTACAACTTATATCGCCTATGAGGACAGGCCCCATGCTTGGTGTAAGAGGAGACTAACGGATCGGGTGGTCAGGATCGCTGACTTGGTTGATGCATGTCACCCTATCCAAATTGCGTAGATCGATGCTCATGATATCAATCACTGGATTGTCTGGTTCAGACTCGAATATTGACAGACCGCCGTCATATAGCTTGAATATTGCTCAGTGCGGCGTAAGCAAACAAACATGAAAGACGCAGATTTAGTCTGGCCTAACAATTTCCACAGGAAACAAGCACTGCCCCGGAAGTGTAGCGCATGCTATAAGTGTGTGAAAGCCCGCGTTCATATTCTCTGCCTCAACAGCATGGCATATATTCTGCTTCAAAGTTAAACCAAGTTTGCGTCAAACAAAATTTTCAGAGTTTTAAAGGAAACGACTTGAAGGAGATAGTACAATGCCCCCTGTGACGTCTTGAATGTTAAAAGCGGCGTAAAACCCAACTAACTCAAATCTACGGAAGACTTTTAGGGCCATTTGTATTTCAATATTTTTTCTTGGAATTTCAAGATACTTAGTTGAAATTTCAGGTTTCATACTAAGTTGAAACTTCAAGATGCTAAGTTGAAATTTCAGTACGCGATGTTTAAATTTCAAGATATATAAGCTGAAATTTCAAGATATCAACTTGAACTTTCATCTCATTATCTTGAAATTTCAAGATCATCATCTAAAAATTTCAACTTAGTATGTATCTTGTAATTTCAAGTTAGTATCTTGAAATTTCAACATAACAAAACAAATGGCCTTGAAAGGCGTCCGTACAAATCTGCTAAGAGGTCACGATACTCGTGTACACTTTAGTATTGCAATAATTACTTTCAAGGGGGTGAATCTTTGTCACGTCTCACTGAATTACTGAAATAATTGAAATTGCTGCCCCCTCTCAACCCGAAGGAATATTACGGCGTGACTCCCCGTTCCCCACTCTCGTGGGAATGTAAAGTGCCTTGAAGTTCTCCATCAAAATCATTTGAACCCGATCTGGTATTATAAGTATCATCAATATTCCAATATCATTAGTATTAGTAGTGTCATGTTAATGTTTTTATTACTTATATTATGTTAAAATGATTATGGCTAATCAACCATAGCCAGTGCCGAAACTAAGATACAAATTTTCTGTACAAGTTTCCCGTTTGTCCAGTATCCGGTCCGAAACAAGTCAACAATAAGTACAGTAAACTACGGTTATAACGAACACGCTTATAACGAACTGACGGATATAACGAACTTACTTTTTTGGTCCCGACTATTTGCTGTAGTTATACTGTATATATGCTTATAACGAACTACGGTTATAACGAACATAAAAGAGTAGTCCCTTTGAGTTCGTTATAACCGTACTTTACTGTAGTTTAATTGAGAACTTATAACCCTTGTTAGAAACCGGCTCTTATTATCCGACCTTAATGGAGAATATACGGTAACTACGTTCTCTACGTCTATTTCTGTTCAGATAATTAATTAGAACAATTCAGACGACACTGAGTGTATCATTCTTTCTACTTTTGATCATTTCAGTTTTGAACCAACGTGACCATGTCGCAAGGATACCCAGTGACAGCCCAGGTGAGTCACACACGAGGCGGGGCCGGATGGGGGGTGACCGGATGGGAGAGGCCGGATAGCTGTCCCCGTTTTGTACCCAGACAGGCATGATAACCCCATACGTGATTTAAATACACAAAGAAAGGATAAGCAAACATGAGGAGGGGTTTCTTGGGGAATTTTAAATATTTCTATGCGGCCATGGCATTCTAACAGAATATTAAGCATACGTTGGTCGTATTTTGAAGTTTGTTTAAAGTCGTAATATTCTTAATTATTAATATTATATATAACTTTAACATGTTATGTAATGCAAAATTGTAAAACAAGTTATCACAGAAAGTTTTCACTGAATTTTAGAAAACTAGTTTACATCAGATATCACGACGTTACGAACATTCGAAAATCAGAGAAAGTCAAATATCAAGAATAGTTGGATATGCGAATGGTCGGATGTCACGAATAGTTGAATATCACGAATAGTCAGATACCAGAGAGTTGGATATGGGGAATATCTGGATACCATGATCAGTCGGATATCACTAAATTATGGATGTCATGAATAGTCGGATATCAGTAATAGTCGGATATCACAAACTTACAGGTCCTGTTTAAACGACTGATGACTATGTAACGAATAATGTATATGCAATACTTTGCTTCAAGGGCATCTCTCTTCTCTTTGACTTTCTGTGCAAAACAACATGTACGTTGTTGTGGTTTCAACTCAAACACGCTGTTTCCAAGCTATTTAGGCAGGGTCACACACAGGTGATGCGGGACATTCACGTCACTGCTACAGTGACATATTGTAAAACCCATGTACACAGAAATGTAGTGCAGGATGCAGTAATAGATCATCCCCATGGCTGTATAATAAGCCGTGCGGACTTGAGTACATGCGACACTTTGACGGGTCTGTGACACTTTGACGTGTCTGTGACACTTTGACGGGTCTGCGACACTTTGACGGGTCTGTGACACTTTGACTGGTCCGTGACACTTTGGCGGGTCCGTGACACTTTGGCGGGTCTGTGACACTTTGACGGGTCTGTGACACTTTGACGTGTCTGCGACACTTTGACGGGTCTGTGACACTTTGACGGGTCTGTGACGCTTTGACTGGTCTGTGACACTTTGACTGGTCTGTGACACATTGACGGGTCTGTGTCACTTTGACGGGTCTGTGACACATTGACGGGTCTGTGACACATTGACGGGTCTGTGACACTTTGACGGGTCTGTGACACATTGGCGGGTCTGTGACACTTTGACTGGTCTGTGACACTTTGACTGGTCCGTGACATTTTGACGGGTCCGTGACATTTTGACGGGTCCGTGACATTTTGACTGGTCTGTGACACGTTGACGGGTCTGTGACACATTGGCGGGTCTGTGACACTTTGACGGGTCTGTGACACATTGACGGGTCTGTGACACTTTGACGTGTCTGTGACATTTTGACGGGTCCGTGACATTTTGACGGGTCCGTGACATTTTGACTGGTCCGTGACACTTTGGCGGGTCCGTGACACTTTGGCGGGTCTGTGACACATTGACGGGTCTGTGACACTTTGACGGGTCTGTGCAACTTTGACGGGTCTGTGACACTTTGACGGGTCTGTGACACTTTGACGGGTCTGTGACACTTTGGCGGGTCTTTGACACTTTGACGGGTCTGTGACACTTTGGCGGGTCTGTGACACTTTGACGGGTCTGTGTCATTTTGACGAGTCTGTGACACATTGACGGGTCTGTGACACTTTGGCGGGTCTGTGACACTTTGACGAGTCTGTGACACTTTGACGGGTCTGGAGGAGGCACAAGTTTATATATGTGTTGGTTTATTTCAGCCGTACGTCCATGGCCACACCACCGGCCACACAACCGTGGTGATGACCACCACGTCACAGGTGAAACAAACCAGGGACTGGTCATCTGGAATTTTCGCCTGCTTTGACGACATAACTACATGTAGGTGGTACACTGTCTCTATGCTACAGCTTATGCTTTGTCCATTTGAACAGTTAATAGAGGTTACACGTGGGTCCTGCACTGTCTAGATGAATACATATGGGGCAATTACGATAGTTTACACGTGGGCCAAGCACTGTCTTGATAATACAAAGGGGTAGTTACGATAGTTTACACGTGGGCCATGCACTGTCTTGGTGAATACAAAAGGGGTAATGACGATAGTTTACACGTGGGCCATGCACTGTCTTGGTGAATACAAAAGGGTAATGACGATAGTTTACACGTGGGCCATGCACTGTCTAGTGCATATGGGGTAATTACGATAGTTTACACGTGGGCTATCCGCTGTGTAATGGAATACATATGGGGTAATTACGATAGTTTACACGTGGGCTATGCGCTGTGTAGTGGAATACATATGGGGTAATGACGATAGTTTACACATGGGCTATGCAGTGTCTAGTGGAATACATATGGGGTAACTGTGTAGATCATGTGCTATCTAGTGGAATACATATGGAGTAACTGTGTAGATCATGTGCTATCTAGTGGAATACATATGGGGTAACTGTGTAGATCATGTGCTATCTAGTGGAATACATATGGAGTAACTGTGTAGATCATGTGCTATCTAGTGGAGCACATATGGGGTAACTGTGTAGATCATGTGCTATCTAGTGGAGCACATATGGGGTAACTGTGTAGATCATGTGCTATCTAGTGGAGCACATATGGGGTAACTGTGTAGATCATGTGCTATCTAGTGGAGCACATATGGGGTAACTGTGTAGATCATGTGCTATCTAGTGGAGCACATATGGAGTAACTGTGTAGATCATGTGCTATCTAGTGGAGCACATATGGGGTAACTGTGTAGATCATGTGCTATCTAGTGGAATACATATGGGGTAACTGTGTAGATCATGTGCTATCTAGTGGAGCACATATGGGGTAACGATGAGGCTACGATGAGGTTTTTGCGCTGTCAAGTGGAGTACATCTAAAGTAACACCCGATAAGAGATGTATCAGCACGCCATATGAACTGACTGTGTGGTGTTTGTAGGTCTCTGCGGGACGTTCTGCGGTTTGTGCCTGGAGTGCCAAGTGGCCATGAAGATGGGTGAACACTGCTGCGTCCCGATCTGTGTGCCCGCTGCTATCATCACCATGAGGGCGACCATGAGAGAGAGACACCATATCCAGGTGAGCAAAATATCACCTTCAGTTTTCTTTTCTATGCCCCTTTCCCGGGTCTTTCCCCCCTCAAACCATTTTGAGTTGTTAGTAGTCCGAGGCTCCTTTTGTGTACTAGCTTCGACCTGCAACCCCTATATCAAATTGACAGTTCTTAATGGGGTCGACATTTTAATAATATTTACAATATATTTTAAAATGTCGTACTTATGTTGTATGTAAAGATCCCAAAGTACAGCATAATTTACTGTTCTACACAAGGCCCATATTAACGCCATTCATCTTCACTCTGGACTTATTTTGGGCAACATGACCTTTTTAAGAGTTTAAAGACTGGATCGGTGAAAAAACCCATTGACGTCTTTATTGTTTTACACACATGGCATTAAGGCGGGCCATTGTCGTCGGTACTGCAAATGTGACATACCTGTAGTATAATATTTGTCAACAGTTTTTGTCAGAGTTCGGGGAGGATATTATGTAGATTCTGCGGTAAAAATGCGCATCAAGAGTACATTGCTTAGCCATAGGGTACAACTATGCATTTCAATTTTTGTAAGGTTAAATCTCCGTTTATCTTACCTTACATATGAATGTCGTATTCTGGTTGGCTGGGACCCATTCCTTTATTTTCAATGTTTCCCGTTGATTTGTAATGTACAGTACAGTAATGTTTCCCCCTCGAATTGCCAAACTGTTGGCATTACATTTGCAACATACCAACGCAACTTTGTATCTCCAATTTATGATGTAAGACGCCATTCTCCGGATACTTGCGATATTTTTCGAATGAAATAGATAGATCTAGGGGGAATAACTCTAAGTTTCGATTACTGTCGAAAAATATAAATTGTCATCCAAAATTCTTGAAGAAAATAATTATCCTTCAGACTGTTGGAAAACAAAAGAAATTGACGCCACAAAAATTACATTACTGCGAGGTGATTTTCTTTAAAGAAAATCAGGGTCATAGTTATAAATAAAAAAAACCACACCTCTGGTTTACTAGCTGTAGCAGTAAAAAAAGTTTCGATTTTTAAAAATGCTGTCTTTTGGGCCACGAGATGTACCGAAATTAGAAAAGGCACATTAGTAATACGAGTACGCTTTTATTTCAGGGCGGGATTCTCAATGACTGTTTTATGTCATATTGCTGTGGTCCCTGCGTGCTGTGTCAAGTAGCACGTGAGCTGAAACACACCGGGGAATGGCAGATCAACTAAATGTGGAGAACACGACTCGTCGTCACCAGGATACCCTGCCAGAAGGCGATGTGGAGACATGAGTTTAAACCTCAACTCGCGCTTACTACATAACCGAAGCTTCTTATGCAATTTTATAACCTCATCTCCTATCTGTATCATAAAAACAATTTACATTTCCGCCCATGTCACTTTCTATGTTTGCTTCCCGTATTTAGAACCAAGGTTCTGTGCTTGACATCAGCGCCAGTAACGAGGTATCGCTGTGAGGAGCTTGGTGTTAATGCATGACAATGGCGGAAACAGACCACGCTCATGGACAGTGCTTATCCGCGCTATAGTATTTAATGGAGTAACCCAATAAATATGCCACTAAGATATTAATAGCACGTTTCGCATTTTAAAACTTTTAATATACTTTTCTTGGACTGGGATGATCCTGGGACCACTCACACTGAATAGTGAAACACTTTGAAAACACCACAAAACCCATCGGTGTAAAATAATAGACGCTCACCAGGTTTTCTTAGTATTTATAATTTTGTGGATTTAAAAGAGGTAGATCTACCCTCTCAAAACTGACATCAGTGATAGACAATTAAACATATATTTTATTAATAATCACTGATATTCTTTTTTTATTTTTAAAAAGAGGTAGATCTACCCTCTCCAAACTGACATCAATGATAGACAATTAAACATATATTTTATTAATAATCACTGATATCCTTATTTGGACTCCCAAAGCAGAATGAAGTAACCAACCCATTGTGCAGCCTGTATATTGTGGTCGGTGCTTGGATTGAAATGCTTTCCTTGTTCCTGTGTAATCCCCACGGCAGTAGTCAAGCACTTGATCAGTGTCCTCTATCGCAACCCAACCGTTCTACGCACCCACAGCGTATACAGTTCTGGGGAAGCTCTATTGAATGCACAATACCAATCAGCATACAACATGTACAAGGGACGACCTTCCACTTCCCAGTGCCTTGGAACGTTTGAGCCCAGATGTGATTCAAGGGAGATAACCGAAAAACCTTTCGCCTTTCGTCAGCCATTGCCCCGTGGACTTTGGCACTGTGTCAATCTTGGCTAAGATCTTTCTTCAGACGTGGATGGAATTGGCAAATGCAGTGCATGTATAAATGTCATACAAACATAACCACCACAACCTCTTCTTGTTAATCCCATATTAGTCCTATTACGTATTTTTGAACACTATTCGTTCTCTCTCCATGTGTGTCTTTACCATCGGAAGTATTAAACACCAAGATCTACAAGTTTCCGTTCTCTGCTGTGCTGAACACTTAGTTAATTAGTACAACTTAGTACAAAGCGCATCTTTTAGGAATAAAAAGGGGAATATTTTCGGTGCGAAATGTATAATGTTGGACAAAATCTTAATATTTAAAGGTATTTATTAATGATAAGCTGTTTCCCAAAATCATCCGAAATATCCACAAACTTTAGAATTTCATTGTTTTATTCATTCCGTATGCTATATCTACGTACTCGTAAGATATTAAGAAATGAAACTTGCATATCATGGTGTTTAGTACATATTGTTACATAGTGTTACATAGAGTATTTTCTTCTTATTATCGTATTTAGTTCTTCGTCATGTGTAGCAAGGCGTGGAGAAACTCGCCTTATAAAAAAATAAAATGTGAAAAGGGGGTTCCGAAGAAAGAAAAGAAAAACAACCGATCTCCGTTTTAAGGCTTTCAATAAATCCTGCACAGTGAAAGATTTTACGTGTGCGTGTACTAATAATATATATGTGTCCCACTCGATTGGGTATTCATTTCGTCATTTCAATTTGAGTGAAATATTTGAAAAAACGTCTATTATATTCTTTGAAAAATGATTGCAATGTATCATTGTAATTAGTAGCTCATCACATGATCATATATTTTCATAATATTTTTCGCATTTTTAATAAACCTACATTCCAAGCTTGATTCAGTGTTACGTTGCTTATATTCTTATAGAGCAATTCTTTGTCGTTGTACAAAGGCATTGAAAACTGTGTCACATAAGGCCACAAGGTTGCGCTGAACTCGTGTGACCGCCCCGGGCAGGAATCACGGCTCTGCATCTCCTCGGCACTGACTGGATAAGTGTACGAATTCTGTCCTGCGGAATTCTGCGCCATTCTGCTTGTAACGCGTTGGCCAGTTGTGGGAGTGTCTGCGGCGTGTTCTGGCGTTGACGTACACGTCGATCCAGTTCATCCCAGGGATGTTCGATTGGGTTTAGATCTGGAGATCTGGACGGCCAGAGCAAGTCGTTGATGGCCCCGAACACCATGACACTATCGCCACCGAATTAGTGGAATTCACGTACACAATGTGGGGCAAAACGCTCATTTCAACGACGATAAACACGTTGTCTTCCATCTCACCGGTGAAGAAGAAATCGTGATTCATCGCTAAACTACACTCGTCACCAGTTTCTCAAATTCTAAGGCGGTAAGGTAAGGCACCAGCGCAAGCGTCCCTGTCGATGGATCTGTTACAAAACATGGACGATAACTGGTCTTCTGGTTCGGATTCCAGCCTCGCGAAGATGGTTCCTATCAGTCTGGTCAGATATCCTCCTCAAACAAGGGATGCGTCCTGCAGTCTCCGTAGGAAGTGGAACAGTCGAATGTAGCGACCCTGTGCAGGGGCGGCAACTCTTTGTCGGCCGGTTCTCGGACGATCTGCTGTGTGTATCGGTCACAAAGGCGGCAAATGGTACTGTGGTAGACGTTGAAGTGACGTGCAACAGAAGACTGCGATTCCCCTCTTTGGATACCGCCTATGGCGATGTTCCGATCGGCAGCGCTGAGTCTCGGCATTTTCGAACTTGAAAAATGTTGACAATTGAATGACAAATTATTGGCTTATGCTTGCCTTTTTATAGCCACTACCACGAGTTTTTGACGCAACGTTTGTCGAATATCAGGCCACCAACATTTTCCAATAACATATATCCAATTTATATACCGGACTTTTTGTGCAGTCAGGTCCAGTGAACTACATACGACCTGTGCGTTTCTTTTTTTGAAGAGCGTACTTTTACAATTTAGCATTGTGAACGGCATGGAAATCATGACGTCCCTTATTAAATTAACAATGCGGGTTCCTTTGCAGATTTGCGTAGTCTAGACCTTTTAGGTTGTTGGCTTCGCGATTTGTGGAATAGACGTGTCCACTAGTGCCAAGCATGCATTGTTTGAGTGTCTGTTGTTTTACGCCGCACCCAGCAAAACTCCATCTATATGCCGCCGACCTGTAAATAATCGAGTCTGTACCAGAAAATACGATATTGTAAGCATCGATCCACGCCATTGGGATATTAGGACACTCTATGAACCAACCCTGGTCGCCTCTTAACGGGCATTCAGTTGTATGCAATTAGTTGCACGAACTGAAGTTGTATACAACTTGGCATTCACACGGCGGCGAGTTGCATACAACTTGGGTCTCGCGAGATCTCTGACAAAAAGCTTGTGATTCACTACATAATCGTTGTCGAGTTATTGTTCAGAGCATAGTTCTGAAAAATCAACGCTGTACGAGAATTGCGGTCGCGCGGTACTAGCTTGGCCAGACCTCTGACTTTGCAATTTAACGGACATGTATATTATTGACTTTTGAACCCCGTGGTGGAAAATTAAAGACTGGTTTGAAAAGCTAAAAGTGTTAAATGTTGTCCAAGTTTCTGTTTTGCTAACGAAAAAGCCTCTAATATATGTAGCCACATATGATCTTACATAGATAAAGTACAGTGCGACGAAATGTTTTATTTGACAGCTTTATGTAAACTGTGAGTGAACAAACTACTGTCTTATATCCAAACAACATCATGACAGATATATAAGAATTGTACGATTATGTATAACGTGACACATTCGATACGAAAACGTACTTGTTTCGTGAGGCGAAAATACGTTTTCCGCTATGACGTCAAAACACGAGGGAGATGTCTACATGTGCAAAGACAACAAAAAAGGGGCATAACTCCGCAATGCTTAACTATAAGATATTGCAACTCAGTATCCGTCTTGTCCGTGGTGAGCATCTGCTTTGACTCAGGACAATACATTCTAGTTTATTTTTGTTTATGTGTATCTCCAAAGTTCTAACACAGCTGTCGATTTTAATAACCACATGGGTTCCTTTTCTGGGACATTGAATGAGTGTCATCCAAAATGCCCTGAAGACATATTTCAGATTTTGTGAGGACCTGTATAGATTGCTTGGGATCAATTCTAACCCGAAATACCCACGAGTTTCAAAAGTTTTTTTGTTTGTTCTTAACCCTCTGGATGCCGAGGTTTTTTTCTGACGCACATTTTCCTAAGATCGGAAAAGTGAAGGTTGTGCGAAAATTGCGCTCACGCGGCACTGGATATACCGCTGGCTAAAAAATTACGCAGAGGTGGAGAATATTAAATTTCCTATTTGGTGGTGTAAATTTAACTGTAAATATCAAACCGGTTTTAAAAAAAGACACTCCTAAGTGTTGTCCGAGAATGTATCCTGCGTTGAGAAAAAGTAAATTTCTCCGCTTTTTATCGTACACCGATAAAAGTACTGTGCGACAATTATTTTTATTAAGAGGCTTTACGGAAACTGTGAGTGAACAAAATACTGCCTAATATCTGAACGACATAACTACATATCAAATAGAGTTATATGCGTATGTATAACGACATACATTCAATTCAAAAAATGACGAAAACTGATTTTTCTTTATGACGTCAAAAGGTGACAGAGAGATTACACACGTACAAAGAAAAGGGGGCATAACTCCGCTATGCTTAGCTCTAGTTTGTTGTAACTCAGGTCACTTGGTGAGAATTAGCTGTGGGTAAGGACAATATATTTTCGTGGTGTTTTGTTCAGGAGGAACCAAACTATTCCAACACAAATTTCGATATTGAAACTTTACACGTTTAGTTATAAAATATACCCATAAGAAGTGATGAAATCGTACTTCATAAAAAGGAGGTAATAGAGAAATGGATGGCCTTATCTAACCTATAACTTAGTCCTCAGATTCCAACATTCTCCTGATTGTGTAAGTGTAATTTGACTAATGTTGCATCATTATTAATGGAGCACAAGCCTTATCATCAAATGTAATGAAATACCCTAAAAATAACACCATTCTTTTTGAGGTCATGGCTGGTTTTATGTCTTTGATAACGTCGGAAAAAGACGACACTGGTATTTTGATTGATATATATCTCCCCTAATTTTCGTTCATGGTATGGAAAAATTTCGATGTGTGGAACGGAATTTGACGCTTTTTCGACACAACATAAAATGACTGCTCTCACCAAGTAAATAATGTCTTGAATATGTAAACAATTAGATAGTTTATCGTGTATCTTAATTGGACAAGACACGCACCTGTTTGGCATCAATTTACGTAATGAATTTCCCAAAAGAATATTTAAAAACAACAAAATTTATATTCAATATTGGACATATATTTGTTCATGATTATGTTATTTTTTCTTACACAATAAAAGATGCAAAGAAAGCTCTATTGGTATAGAATTATCAGGATAATCGTATACGTTTGAACAAACGGGGTACCTGGCATGGGTTTTTTTTTTATACATTTTACAATTCCTGGAGAAATAGAGTAAACTGTTTACTATCCTGTGATTACAATATTGAAAAAAGAATGAAACACTTGATTATATAATGCAAAACGAGAGGAATAATTCGTAAATTGTTTGTGACTAACGCGCACCTGGCGAATCGTTAGATATCACTGTTCTCTGTATCCAACGACATAAAAGACAAATCAAAGACCAAGAAATTTCAGAAATGTGTGCATATATTTTACCGAAAATATTTATCCATTTTGTTAAAGTAATATATTCAGTTTTAGTTATAAAATAAAATGAAACGGCTATTCATGGACACTGGTTATATGAACTTATGATATTGACTATTACACATCCCAAGAAATACGTAATGCTGCAGTTACATTTACACTTGTAACACTTGTCCAAAGGAAAGAAATATCGTAGTCGACACTATAAACCTATCACATTGTTATGTAAACAATGTTCAAACAAACAGGAGATTATCAAAGGTTCGTTCATATATTATCAAAGGTTCGTTCATACATGTTGTGACCTATATGTACGTATGATTTCATTTTGAACATTGACAAATATCCAAAGTGAAATTAATTGTGTGAAAAAATGTATAAAAGACATGCAAAATATACACCATAACTGAAACTGTAAACAGCATGATACAATGATCGTGTGCACTCTCATTCAAGGACCTTCACCCACAGGAGTCCGTATCTAAAAATAGACGCCCTCATGCATATTCATGACCATCTCCACACGCGAGCCCGAAGGGCGTTCATGTGTATGTGTTTATGTGCGTGCGTGTGTATGTGAATATGTGCGTTAGTGTGTATGTGTATATGTGCGTTAGTGTGTATGTGCGCCCTTCGGGCTCGCGTGTGGAGATGGTCATGAATATGCATGAGGGCGTCTATTTTTAGATACGGACTCCTGTGCTTCACCTCAAAGAAATAACCAAATATGTACAACAATGTTGACGTATGACATCACTACCTGTGACTCACTTTTACAAAATGGTGTGTACACTGTCAACTGTACGCGGGATTGTACGAGGGGACTTTCGTTGATTCAGGGATCGTATAAACATAAATGTGACATGTAAGTACTCAGAAACATTCTGACAATCTATGTACTGTTATTTGTTGTCATAATTTTCATTGAAACAAACGGAAAAAGTCAGAAATTCCGATAAATACCGTTGTCGTTGTGCGTGATTTTGCGTCAGTCATGGCGTCAACCAGAACGGTTACTTTGACATCTTCCGTTGAAAATATCAAATCATTGCAATGTATCTATTTGAAATTCCCTAATTCTTCCTACGATTCTCTTCCCATGCATATTCTGAAAATGTTGAGCCAATATCTTGAACGAATAGACGAATGGATAGCTCAAAATAGGCTACACTGTGTAAAATCTGAATTTTGCTTTGTTTACATTTCAACCATGTGCAGTTTTTCGAGCACAGCGTTCGTTTTCACGCCTAACTTATTTTGCTTGATTTCATCTAGCCACTTTGTATTGGTGACAAAGACCACTGGTCATTTGATTCTAAAGTGTATGAGGAATTCAAGGATGTAGGTATCGCAGATAAGTTTGAAATATACGTGATGTTACAGGCGTCTCATAACCGGTGTACCTGAAACGTGATTTTGTAAACACTATCCAATATGGCGGAAAGTACACTTCGGCGTTCGTGTTTTCGTTTTTTCCAAAACATTCTAAACGATTCTAGGGTTATCGGAGACGTTTTGGAATGATCATTGGTGATTTCATAAAAGACAGATACCCGTGATCACTAATGTGGTGTTTTTGAAATCATTTCTCCGAGTAAATATCCGAAATGTAGATTTCAAAACATGCTGTAAATAACGCCGTGAGTGGTGATTTAGTAATGTGAATAAAATGGCGACATTTACGATGTACCTAATTTTCAGAGGTCATGTTCAGTACTTTTGTTTGGCCTAAAATGCCAGTGGATGATATCACAGAACAGGGAATTTCCCACCTTATTCAAAACTGTAAAGTTTGTGTCGTGTTCTGGTTGGCTGAGACCCATTCTAGTATTTCCAATGTTAAAGTTTCCCGTCGAATTACCCAACTGTTGGCATGACATTTGCAACATACCAACTGCAACTTTGCATCTCCAATCAATGACGTAAGACGCCATTCTACGGATATTTACGGTATTTTCCAAATGATTTGTGTGTTTGTTTGTTATAACGCCAAACAATTCTACTCTTACGAACAGACGCAATGCGCGTGACCTGTGACGTCATATCATTGCTGCGTCATCACAGACGCCATTTTGTGTTTACAGTTGGAAGCTAGGTAAGCAAAAGAATTAGTTTTAATTGGGAGGTTTACGATGTGTATTGATTAATCGTTGTCCAATGGGAACTACTCTTATTTGCAGCTGAAAGTTCAACGTCAATGTTTTGATGCTGAAGAAGCACGTCAACTGCCGTATTTGTTTTTTTCCGCCTTGGCGGTTTTAGGTATCTCTGAGCAGCCGCTTGACGGTAGCTGCAAAAAGCAGCTTCTTCATGTATGTCTATAAGCGAGCCTGGTGACCTATCCGCTAGGATGCATTTTAGAGGCAAAAGAACGCCAATCCTTAACCCCCTGGATGCAAGGGGGACATATATGTCCATCCTCTTCATCCCTCACTTTGAAGTCGAATAAAATTCAAACATCACGCACACAAATACACTTTACAGTTTTGAATAATAAGGGACATTCCCTGTTCTGTGATATCATGCACTATCATTTTATTGAAAATGACCTCTGAAAATTATGTACATCGCAAATGTCGCAATATTTTAGGCATCACTGAATCATAATTCACGGCGTTCTTTACAGCATGTAAAATCTAAATTTCGGACATCTATTCGGAGAAATGAATTTCAAAAATAGCATATAAGTGTTATGGATATTTATCAATCAATGCAGTATGATATCATACGTAGATTTTGGCCACAAAATGTATAATAATCTCCCGTTTGTTTAAAAATTGTTTACATAAGAAATTGATAAGTTTACGACGATATTTTTGACAATATTTGTTTTCCTTTTGACAAGTGTTAGAAGCTGAAATGTAAATGTATATGGGTTTTATTTTTATACATTTTACAATTCCTGGAGAAATAGAGTAAACTGTTTACTATCCTGTGATTACAATATTGAAAAAAGAATGAAACAATTGATTATATAATGCAAAACGAGAGGAATAATTCGTAAATTGTTTGTGACTAACGCGCACCTGGCGAATCGTTGGATATCACTGTTCTCTGTATCCAACGACATAAAAGACAAATCAAAGACCAAGACATTTCAGAAATGTGTGCATATATTTTACCGAAAAATAATATCCATTTTGTTAAAGTAATTTATTCAGTTTTAGTTATAAAATAAAATGAAACGGCTATTCGTGGACATTGGTTATATGAACTTATAATATTGACTTATTACACATCCCAAGAAATACGTACATGCTGCAGTTACATTTACACTTCATCTTGTAACACTTGTCCAAAGGAAAGAAATATCGTAGTCGACACTATAAACCTATCACATTGTTATGTAAACAATGTTCAAACAAACAGGAGATTATCAAAGGTTCGTTCATACATGTTGTGGCCTATATGCACGTATGATTTCATTTTGAACATTGACAAATATCCAAAGTGAAATTAATTGTGTGAAGAAATGTATAAAAGACATGCAAAATATACACCATAACTGAAACTGTAAACAGCATGATACAATGATCGTGTGCACTCTCATTCAAGGACCTTCACCTCATAGAAGTTACCAAATATGTACAATAATGTTGACGTATGACATCACTACCTGTGACCCACTTTTACAAAATGGCGTGTTCACTGTCAACAGTACGCGGGATTGTACGAGGGGACTTTTGTTGATTCAGGGATCGTATAAACATAAATGTGACATGTAAGTAATCAGAAACATTCTGACAATCTATGTACTGTTATTTGTTGTCATAATTTTCATTGAAACAAACGGAAATAGTCAGAAATTCCGATAAATACCGTTGTCGTTGTGCGTGATTTTGCGTCAGTCATGGCGTCAACCAGAACGGTAACTTTTCAACTTCTGTTGAAAATATCAAATCATTGCAATGTATCTATTTGAAATTCCCTTATTCTTCCTACGATCTCTCCCCATGCATATTCTGAAAATGTTGAGCCAATATCTTGAACGAATAGACGAATGGATAGCTCAAAATAGGAGAAAATGCTACACTGTGTAAAATCTGAATTTTGCTTTGTTTACATTTCAACCATGTGCAGTTTTTCGAGCACAGCGTTCGTTTTCACGCCTAACTTATTTTGCTTGATTTCATCTAGCCACTTGGTATTGGTGACAAAGATCACGGGTCATTTGATTCTAAAATGTATGAGGAATTCAAGGATGTAGGTATCGCAGATAAGTTTGAAATATACGTGATGTTACAGGCGTCTCATAACCGGTGTACCTGAAACGTGATTTTGTAAACACTATCCAATATGGCGGAAAGTTCACTTCGGCGCTCGTGTTTTCGTTTTTTCCAAAACATTCTAAACGATTCTAGGGTTATCGGAGACGTTTTGGAATGATCATTGGTGATTTCATAAAAGACAGATACCCGTGATCACTAATATGCTATTTTTGAAATTCATTTCTCCGAGTAAATATCCGAAATTTAGATTTCAAAACATGCTGTAAATAACGCCGTGAGTGGTGATTTAGTAATTTGTAAAAAATGGCGACATTTACGATGTACCTAATTTTCAGAGGTCATGTCCAGTACTTTTGCTTGGCCTAAAATGCCAGTGGATGATATCACAGAACAGGGAATTTCCCACCTTATTCAAAACTGTAAAGTGTATATGTGTGGGTGATGTATTTTGAATTTTATTCGACTTCAAAGTGAGGGCTGTAGAGGAAGGACATATATGTCCCTCTGGCATCCAGGGGGTTAAACCCAATTTCACCTCACCTCACCTCACACAAAGGCTTAAAATGATTTACAAGCTCTGAGACCTGCTTATCACAAATCACTAACTCAGTTACATGTTGTGTTTTCATCATTTTAGCAGTGAATCGGCTTCCCCATGGCACAAGGATATCCGGTCGTAGTGGCCCAGGTGAGGTATGGGGGTGGGGGACAGGTGCATTAAAGGGCACTGTAGGAGTCACTGTATGTCAGCTAAGGAGGTACTTTAAAACTGAGCCACAATTAATAGTTTGTTTGTTTGTTGTTTAACACCGCACTCACCAATGTTGCAGCTATATGACGCGGTCTGTAAATAATCGAGTCTGGACCAGACAATCCACTGATTGACATCATGAGCAACGATCCACGCAATTGGGATACGATGCATCAACCAAGTCAGCGAGTCTGGCCACCCGATCACGTTAGTCGCCTCTTACGACACGCATGGGTTGCTGAAGACCTATTCTAACCCGGATCTTCAGGGGTTCCATTACTATTGGTCCCCCATCAACCTATGTTTGTCGCAAGAAGCGACAGAAAGGCTGTGTTGTCAGGTTTGTTTTTTTGTTTGTTGTTTAACGCCGGACTCAGCAATATCCCAGCTATATGACGGCGGTATGTAAATAATGGAGCCTGGACAAGACAATCCAGTGATTGATATCATGAGCAGCGATTTAGAAACGATGACATGCATCAACCAAGTTAGCGAGCCGGACCACCCGATCCCGTTAATCGCCTTATTCGGCAAGCATAGGTTATTGAAGACCTATTCTATCCCGGATCTTCACGGGTCGTGTTGTCAGGTGCCTTGATTTAGTTGCTTCCCACAAATCCCAGACATGTGCTTCCAACACTGTAACCATGTGGGGAATCGAACCCGGATTTTTGGCGTGACGAGCGAACGCTTTTACCACTAGGCCACCCCACCGCTACTGATATAGCTGTAATACATCGATTAGTACTTGTTGATTAGAAAGATTTCACTGGGAACGGTTTTTATGGTGATGCCAATCAATATTTTGTGTAAAAAAACAAAAACTCATCAAGCTTTACACAAACTACATGATCTTTAACTTTGAAAAAATCGATACATTTATTTTATAAATACATGTATTTTAACAAAAGTATGTCCTGCAAATTCACGCACTGGGCCCTGTTCTGCAAAGCGACCTTAGCACTAAGACGATCGTAACTACCATACGTTAACATAAACTAAAGATAATCGTAGCGCTCAGATCGCTTTGTGGAACGGGACCCTGTTCTTTTAAGAAGTATACGATATACTATAGTTTAAAAAAAGCATGTCTTCTTTCCAAATAACGAAGTGGAAATACTAAGACATTGGGTCACATTTCTGTTGCACTTTTGTTGAAATATCAAGGGCAATTAAAGTGCTTAGTCGCGTAAGAAAATTAAAGTTCTGTATAAGCACTTTTTTTTACCTGAAAAGTGTTTTTCTTAATTTCATCCGGTTTTGTCTCAAACTCATCATAAACATCCCATGGGCTACGGACACTACAAAATGCTAAATAACATTGAAAAAATATATAGCAGTCTCTGGAAATGGACAGTCTATTCAACATAACAATGAAGGCAGGTTTGTATTCTATTTGACTAAACACAATGAATTGCAAGTAGAAATGAGAAAGCAGACGAAACATGATTGAAAATTATGTAAATAAACTGAAAGAATCAGTTTCTCTTCTGTAAATATCTGGAAATCAATATCTAGTAAGTTTTGTGAAATCCTTTCAAAACTTCTAGATGGTGGTATATGACAGACTTGTAAACCAATTAGTGCAAAGATAAATATCTAGGCAACTGACTCGCCCTGATTTTAGGGCTATGGACACTTTGTCTATATTTTGAAAGTGTCTGATTAGTGAACAGACAAACTGTATCAAGATAAAAACTAATGTTAAATGTCAAATAGACAATTTATTTCTACGCAATAAAAAGCAAAATCTAAACATCTTATAATCTGGGGCTACGGACACTACATATTGTAAAATGTCCCAAATATTCAAAACCTATTGAAGAGAGTAAAGCTAAAAGTCAGATTAGTGCAGGTTTACAAATTACATGAAATATCTGTGGTTAAGTTACTAAATGAACTGTTCAGTCACAACACCAAGCTTAAAAATAGGGGCTACGGACACTACAGGGCTACGGGCACTACAGGGCTACGGACACTACAGGGCTACGGACACTACAGGGCTACGGACATATGTTTTCCTGTGCCACAGTTGTCTATGCAAGGCAATTCAAACAATTCCACCAGAGATTAGTAGCTTTGATAACTCATAAAATTTATTATAGCACCAATAGTCAGCCGTTGTTAGGTACTACAATAGCCATGGGGCAACGGGGACTACAACACATATGCAGAAAATAGCAATGTTTGATTCTCACCTGCTTACATAACCCAGATCATACCTAATAATTAACGAATTTTTTCACAAATTTGGTATTCCGAATGTGTGAAAACAAAAACAAAAAAGCAATACTTCAGCACAATTTGTTGACATATGAGTAGTACAAAATTGTATGTAAAATTCAAGCATATTTTACAAGCATAGATCTACCTTTTTTGTGAGGAAGTGTGAACTTGCCAAACATTGAGATATACCTTCAGTTGAAGAGAGACTGCTACTCCTTTATGCCAATGTAGTATGTTTACTAGTAACATATAATGCATTTTATAATCCTAGCAAGCAATAAGCTTCATCAAAGTTAGTGAAAATGTAGACTGCAAAATATAAGGAGGAACATTCACATGTTTTGGGGGTCATTGTCATGGCTAAAAAATGTAATGCCAAATGGAAAGCTGAAAGTTAATAATGTCACATCAAGACAGTACAACTGGCAAATGAAAAAGTACATATGACCTTCTTTTCATCCTGTAAGTAATCAAAAAGGTCCTTAAAACAAGCTTGTCTAAAAAATATGACCCCTGTTTATGACCAGGCCGTTTGATTATTTTCAAGCTTTGGGAGCTTCAACTTGATATGAATATTGGTCAATTTCAGCCTGGTGCGCAAGGCCAGCACGTCTTGGTACCCCAGAAGAGGAAGTGGTCATCAAAACTGTGCGGCTGCTTTGAAGACGTAGGAACATGTAGGTAACGAAGATAGCTAGATTAGTATTATAAAAGTCTATCGCAATAGTTCCCTGGGTATACAGCGATTTAGCAATTTTCCAGCAATATCATGGCGTCACACACTGTACCAATGTCGGAATCGAACCTGGATCCACGGCGTGACGAGCGAACGCTTTAAACCACTAGACTACCCGACCGCCGCTATCCGTCCCATTGACTATATGTTGTTTTTTATAGGTCTACCGTCATGTGTGTCAGAAGAAGGCTCCCATTGACTATATGTTGTCTGTGTTATAGGTCAAGTGTGTCAGTAAAAGGTTCCCATTGACAATATGTTGTTTGTGTTATAGGTCAAGTGTGTCAGTAGAAGGCTCCCACTGACTATATGTTGTTTGTGTTATAGGTCAAGTGTGTCAGTAGAAGGCTCCCATTGACTTTATGTTGTTTGTGTTAAAGGGCAAGTGTGTCAGTAGAAGGCTCCCATTGACTATATGTTGTTTGTGTCATAGGTCAAGTGTGTCAGTAGAAGGCTCCTATTGACTATATGTTGTTTGTGTTATAGGTCAAGTGTGTCAGTAGAAGGCTCCCATTGACTATATGTTGTTTGTGTTATAGGTCAAGTGTGTCAGTAGAAGGCTGCCATTGACTATATGTTGTTTGTGTTATAGGTCAAGTGTGTCAGGAGAAGGCTCCCATTGACTATATGTTGTTTGTGTTATAGGTCAAGTGTGTCAGTAGAAGGCTCCCATTGACTATATGTTGTTTGTGTTATAGGTCAAGTGTGTCAGGAGAAGGCTCCCATTGACTATATGTTGTTTGTGTTATAGGTCAAGTGTGTCAGTAGAAGGCTCCCATTGACTATACGTTGTTTGTGTTATAGGTCAAGTGTGTCAGGAGAAGGCTCCCATTGACTATATGTTGTTTGTGTTATAGGTCAAGTGTGTCAGTAGAAGGCTCCCATTGACTATACGTTGTTTGTGTTTTAGAGGTCAAGTGTTTCAGTAGAAGGCTCTATATGTTGTTTGTGTTATAGGTCAAGTGTGTCAGTAGAAGGCTCCCATTGACTATATGTTGTTTGTGTTATAGGTCAAGTGTGTCAGGAGAAGGCTCCCATTGACTATATGTTGTTTGTGTTATAGGTCAAGTGTGTCAGTAGAAGGCTCCCATTGACTATATGTTGTTTGTGTTATAGGGCAAGTGTGTCAGTAGAAGGCTCCCATTGACTATATGTTGTTTGTGTTATAGGCCAAGCACGTCAGTAGAAGGTTCCTATTGACTATATGTTGTTTGTGTTATAGGTCAAGTGTGTCAGTAGAAGGCTCCCATTGACTATATGTTGTTTGTGTTATAGGTCAAGTGTGTCAGTAGAAGGCTCCCATTGACTATATGTTGTTTGTGTTATAGGTCAAGTGTGTCAGAAGAAGGCTCCCATTGACTATATGCTGTTTGTGTTATAGGTCAAGTGCGTCAGGAGAAGGCTCCCATTGACTATATGTTGTTTGTGTTATAGGTCAAGTGTGTCAGGAGAAGGCTCCCATTGACTATATGTTGTTTGTGTTATAGGTCAAGTGTGTCAGTAGAAGGCTCCCATTGACTATATGTTGTTTGTGTTATAGGTCAAGTGTGTCAGGAGAAGGCTCCCATTGACTATATGTTGTTTGTGTTATAGGTCAAGTGTGTCAGTAGAAGGCTCCCATTGACTATATGTTGTTTGTGTTATAGGTCAAGTGTGTCAGTAGAAGGCTCCCATTGACTATATGTTGTTTGTGTTATAGGCCAAGCACGTCAGTAGAAGGTTCCTATTGACTATATGTTGTTTGTGTTATAGGTCAAGTGTGTCAGTAGAAGGCTCCCATTGACTATATGCTGTTTGTGTTATAGGTCAAGTGTGTCAGTAGAAGGCTGCCATTGACTATATGTTGTTTGTTACAGGTCTCTGCGGTACGTTTCTTGGTCCATGCTTCATGTGCCAGATAGCTTCGAAGATGGGTGAAAACTGTTGTGTTCCTATGTGTGTGCCCAACGCCATTATCACAATGAGAACAGCTCTGAGAGAGAGGCACAATATTGAGGTAAGTCTGTGCATTCGTCATCGTTACGTAAGGGGCAGACCACTTGATATTTTAATGGAGCGCCTGGAGACTAAATATGTTTTCAGCTAAAAAAAAATTAATAAAACCATGATGCTAAAATATATATTTTTGTAAAACTTTGTGCAAAAATTATTCATGTGTGGTAGTGCCTATTTTTTTCAACAGTCCAAAGCATATGTTTTCTTTTTCAAGCACTAACACTCCCACAGAACAAACAATGTTATGTCTGAGCGAAGGTTGTTTACAAACTGGAGTGTTGCTGACTACGGCGTTAAAAATGAACATTCACTTCCCCCAAGTTTTGTAATTGACACTAAACTCTAATGTCCTGATTTCCTCAATGGCCTGAAGGCATATATATGTGAAATATATCTCTGTTTTGTCTTTCAGGGCAGTATAATGAGTGATTGCTGCACATCCACCTTCCTGGGCTCGCTTGTGGCGTGTCAACTTGCTCGTGAGCTCAAGCATACCGGCGAATGGCAGATTAACTAATTATGTAGAATACTGAACCTGTGAAATAAACGTATTTCAGCCCTAATGGCTCTCTGTAGATTGTGTTTGCATGTCCGGTGGGGTATTGCGACCCAGATAAGGTCCAGAAGTAGTACCCCACTGCGTCCCGTGGGGGGTGAGTGAGTGAGTGAGTGAGTTGGGTTTAACCCCGCTTTTAAAAGTATTCCAGTTATATCACGGCTGTCAGCTTATCGTGGGAGAAAAGCCCGAAGTGATGCAGGTCTCAGACGTTTACCACTTCAGTGAAACCCACGAGCAAGGATGTGCCCAAGGGACGCAACTCTGCAGAGCGCATTGCGGCGCCTGAGACGATTGTGTTTCCTGTAGAGGCGACTGTTAAAAAATGGTCAGGTTGTGTGACTTGCTTGATGCGCGGCGTCATCGTACGCCATGGATTGTAATACAGGGTTAGAACTTGACACTAGCCATCTAGCCCGGGGCTAGTACCAATTTCCTCACTGTTTTAACATTGCATCTTATCTTCACCCACGCTAGTAGAGCATAGGAGTTTAGTTCTAACCCTGTAATATATGATCAAACAGACCGCATAACACAGTCTATTTATATGACATTCAGATAATAGTGTCGACTCTCGTAACAGCCGCCTCTTTCATTTATGTGATCGATGACCTTCAGCTAGCGGAATGTCTTTGGAGGATTTTATGTACGCTTCATCTGTTATATGGACGTTTTTGTTGGTGAGACGCGTTCTTATAATATTTACAGGGTTTCAGATCGCGTCATTTTCTTATAAAGAAACTGTAAGCGATGCAGTGGCGAATGAAGCCACGTCCACTAGCAGACATGAGATTTGGTTTCAACAATAACCCCCCCCCCCCCCCCCCCCCCCGAATTAGTAAATAACAAACGTCAACGCCGGAGAAGGAGAATAAGTCTCGATTATACGACTAAACAGATTCCATTGTGCGTAAAAGGCAAAATGATTATGAATAGAGGGTGGCCAACTCCTGCGATTTACTAATGAAGAAAAAAGCAACCGTGTCAACATAAATGTTTTGAGCACATTTGCAATTCAAACCCTATATCAAGGTCTAAATGCTAACTCGGTAATGATCCAACATGCTTCGTGACTAACGCGTGGAGGTAGACACCATAGGTTAATCTGTCTGCACCACGCTGAATACACAGAATGTCGATCGATACCGTCTACATATCGATCTAATCGTCTCAGTTGGTATCTGGCTCTACCAGGGTTCACGACGCGACAGATGTGGGAAGATGGAAGGAATCAGATGATACAGTTTAATGTTCGTCCTCAAGCGTCGGGGGAGTTAAGATATTAATAAATGTAGTAAGGTGCGGAATTGTGCTGAAAACATCTGTCAGCGAAATCCCGTTTTGTTTACATCAATCCCTGGTATTGGACTGTTACAGTTGATAAAGATGTAGGATTAAAAAATGTCGACTGCAAAAGTGTGTGTGTGTGTGTGTGTGTGTGTGTGTGTGTGTCAATTTGCCGCTTCCATATATTTATCTCTTGCTTCTGTCTGTATATTAGCTGTGTTTTGTTTGTTTGTTGTTTAACGCCGCACTCAGGGATATCCAAGCTATATGACGGCGGTCTGTAAATAATCAAGTCTGGACCAGACAATCCAGTTATTGACATCATGAGCATCGATCTACGCAGTTGGGATACGATGACATGCATCAACCAAGTCAGGGACACTGACCACACGATCCCGTTAGTCGCCTCTTACGACAAGCATGGGTTGCTGAAGACCCATTCTACCCCCTCTTCACGGGTCTCACTAGCTGTGAGTTTGGTTTAACGCCATTGTAGACAGTGTTTCAGACGCATCACGGCACGTCAGCTTCACGTGTGATCGATCAAAGCGATACAGGTCACTTTGGTGAGCTGTCTTTTTTTTAAAATACGTCTAATAAGACTGAGACATTGAGATGATGTGCGCATTCGAGTGCTCGTTATATTTTGTAAAGGTATCAGAAAGAGGAGAGTGGCGACAAAACGCGAGGTTTCCAGGGCGGAACAGATCCCCAAGACCGCGTTGGATTGTCTGAAACCACGGGCTGTATGAACGTTCATGCTATCAACCACTGGTTTATCTGGCCAAGGCTCGATAACTGACGTGTAGTCGTGATGTAGATGCAACATCGATGACTGTTAAAAGAATTAAAGTTTGTTCTACCCCATGATCCAGTGTAATAAAATAGATTTGACCTGAACCTAATAGCGAGAGCATGGGCAGCAAAACTATTCTTTATTACACTACACATAGGATAAAAGCAAACTTTATTACCTTTCTAAGATTCATGTCACCATTCTAATTGTGTAGATCGATGCTCATGATGTCAATCACTAGACTGTCTTGTCCAGACCGCCGTCACATAGTTGAAATATTACAAGCGCGGCTTTAAACAACAAACAAACAAGCTTGCTGAATTTAAGGTTACCCATGTGTTTTAATGCATCTGACGCATTCTAGCTTTATTAATATCATCATTAAATAGATGCATGCAAAAAGCCTCTGGTCGGTTCCGCCTCAGTTGTGAAGTACAAAGAAGCGTAACGTGACTCAGGGTAGGATCCAAATGGTAATAGACGTTATCAGTGAAACGAGCCCAAAATAACTTGCATTGCATCGATAACGGTACGAGGTCATACAAAATAACAGGCCTTGACGTAAGCGTTGCCATGGTTATCTATATATAGCCAAGTCCCGACCAGAATATTCCCGACTGGAAGACTTCAGGCTGCTAGCAGGACCGCTGGCTGTCGTTAGACGACATGAAGGTTCAAGGCCGAGGTGGCCTCACAGCTAGCGTACAACAATACAAAATGCAGGATTTGTAACATCAATAGCTGGAATGGCTTGTATGCATGTTTTTAGATCACAAAGGTGGAGGCAATATGACTTCGCACAGGGGAGGGATTAAGTAAGAACAGCGTCTGCTGTCTGTCGATTGCACAGCCATGGGGTTTCGTCTGATTTGAAGCTACGCGTATTGAGGGATTGGCTCGTGAGGCGGATGTGTGCCACGAGGTAAAGGTTGGCGAGATTAGAAAAGTGCGAAATAGCTTGCTTGTGGATAATAATTGCAAGCCTCTTATAGCCCGCCTAATTTAGCACATTACATGACTAATATACTTGTCTGAAACTCTATTATGGCTATTTGAAAGAGAGGAAATTGTTCTTTTTATTAGTGGAATAAATAAATTATGATAAAAGGATGTTTGAAAAAATCCCAGTTTGAAAAGTTTAACATTACGTACACGTATAGCTTGTATAGAGGCCCTGTCCATATACCACTGCATAAAGATATTTCCTCAGGATGTAAATACACACATTCATATTGTATGTACATCGCTGTATGACCTGAAGAAAAGGTGTTGTGGATCCAAAAACGTTTCTTAAAATGAACCCCTAGCTGGTGACCCGGGGCAGAATATACCATTGCTAGTTATAGGAGGGCTAGTTCAAAAAGCTCTAAGCCTTAAAAACTTTCACTTTGTGAAAGTGTTTTTGAATTATATTTTTTCAGCATAATCTCTTCTTATATCGACAGTGAAGTTTTTCAATTCCAGTCAGGAAGATGCTTTCTGAAGCCACCCTGAAAAAAACATTTACGGCACCTTTGAGGTCATCGTCGATTCGTTGTCGTCATAGCGCCTTCCACGAAGATGTTCGTTCTGTTTCAAAAACAGGTGGAAATCACTTGGCGCCAGGTCTGACGGTTATTTGAGGGCGAGGAAGCTCTTCGAAACCACATAGTCGCACAGCAGCCTTTGCAAGTCGAGTGGTTTGAGAAGAGGCATTGTCGTGAAGTAGTATAACTCCAGCAGAACTTCAGCATAGAAGGCACTGGTAATCATCTTTTGAACAAGGATCACAACCTTTGCATCCCAGATTACAGTGCCCTTAACTTTCTTCACTGATCTTGAAGACTTGAATTTCTTTGGTGCCGGAGAAGTGGAATGGTACCATTCCATGGATTGACGTTTTGACTTGGGATCATAGTGATAGACTCATTTTTCAGCATCTCTTTTTGAATTTGACGAAATCGTCCTCAATTAGCACTTAATTTTCTCTGGCAATGTCAGTTCATATTTACCTTCGGGGCGGTTGGGTAGCCTAGTGGTTAAAGCGTTCGCTCGTCACGCCGAAGACCCGGGTTCGATTCCCGACATGGGTACAATGTGTGAAGCCCATTTCTGGTGTCCCCCGCCGTGATATTGCTGGAATATTGCTAAAAGCGGCGTAAAACAATACTCACTCACTCACTCATATTTACCTTCAGATCAGAACTTACTTGATGGAATTGAAGTTGAGGGACGTCCAGACCCAGGGTCATGATCAAGGCTTGTTCTCCCAGCCTTAGGGGCGGTCGGGTAGCCTAGTGGTTAAAGCGTTCGCTCGTCACGCCGAAGACCCGGGTTCGATTCCCGACATGGGTACATTGTGTGAAGCCCATTTCTGGTGTCCTCCGCCGTGATATTGCTGGAATATTGCTAAAAGCGGCGTAAAACCATACTCCCTCACCCACTCTCCCAGCCTTAAACATAGCTGCCCAACGGTTAACAGTGGAATAGCTAGGGCAATTATCCCCATACACTTGAGACATGCGATCATGAATTTATTGGGGAGTACTTTTCTCTGAAGTAAAAAAACATTATGACTGCTTGGAACCCGTTCTTTTCCATTTTTGGGTCCATTTGGACCCCTATTTAGCGACTAACGGGATCGGATGGTCAGTCTCGCTGACTTGGTTGATGCATATCATCGAATCCCAATTGCGTGGATCGATGCGCATGACGTCAATCGCTGGACGGTCTGGTCCAGACTCGATTATTTACAGACCGCCGTCATAAAGATGGAATATTGCTGAGTGCGGCGTTAAACAACAAACAAACAAACAAACAAAACGTTCAACTGGTTCTCACTAATATACCAACGGCCTCAACAGACCAGATACACTTGCAATGAACAGGTTCACTTTGTTATGGCCCATAGTTGAAAGTTAGTCAGGCTTTCATGTTTTTGACCA